TGGACCAGCGTTCAAAAGAATTGGAGAGAAGATTTTACTTTGGCTTGTAGTTGTCTGTGATCCGTGAATCCTTAAAGATTTACCCAAAATGTTCTTGATTGCCTGGATGAACGTAGAGAAAGAAAAGATTGCTGATGAATATGAACCCCAAGTTACGCCATTCTGCCTAATCAGATTTTCAAAAGAATGCTCACCAAGGAGACAGTGCGTTATGTGGGGTACATAAACTCTACACGTTAGCCTGTAGGCTTCCAGGTCCTGGCCAGGGCTTCCTACAACTAAAACTCCAGAGATAGCCCCAAGTAAAAAAATACTCAGTTGAAAAATTAGAAGTGAGCCACCCTACTGTAAAGAGTATTTGCGTGTGTGTGTGTGTGTGTGTGTGTGTGTGTGTGTGTGTGTGTGTGTGTGTATGTGTGATTTCTAACTAAGAATCAAAGCATATGTGCACATTACTGCATAGATAGAGCCAATCAAATGTTAAAAAATTCTCTCAGATAAGCATTTTCAAATAAGGCATTTTAGCTAAGGTCTACAATGAAATGTAAGCATTGTCATCTCTCATTGAATCGTCCTAATGTTCTTTGGGCTGGTCCTTAGATTAGAGAAGTTCATTTTGTCTCAGTCCATTCAGGCTGCTGTGTCACAATCCCATAAACTGGGCAGCTTGTAAACCACAGTGGATTCCATTAAATTTGAAGGAATCTAAGTGATAAGCAACAGTTTTAAAACAACTGCATTTTAATCTTAACTGTATTTAACATTACATGTGTTATTCATTGTACAGAATAATTGAAGGGATTCGAATTCTAAGCTCTTGATTTTATTGTTTTTGAAATTTTAGAGTTTTAAACATTTCTTTTTAAAAAAAATTTTTATTTTAAAGATGTGGGGTATAATTCAGGGTTAGGTATAGAAATGTTCATTATGCAGGTGCACTTGGTGATGAGGTATGCCCCGCCCCTTCCCCTGGCAGTTTCCCACTCCTGCCAATCCCTTTCTTATAGTATTATGATAGTTGTTCAAGGTCCACTTATGAGTGAGAACATGTGATACTTGGTTCTTGTGGTCATATTTGAGGTGAGCATTGCTGAATTTCTCAAACTAAACATAATTATGTGTTGTCATGAATATAAATACATGTTTGCATTCAAATATACACAAATATAGAAGAAACTATCACACTGGGTAAGTGAAGATCTGGGTTTTGGCAGAGTTTAAAGACAAGAACTCTAGGGCAGCTTCACTGCCATATGATGGAGTAAGTGCTTAGGATTCACCTTCCCTCAGGTAGCAGAGACCAAGGCAAGCATAAGTAAAGAAGCAGAAGAAAGGATAAAATTGAAGAGTAAAGCTAGAGAGAGGTGGTCAACTGTTGACATTGGCACTAACATTTGAAGTTTTGAAACTCCTTACAGTTGAGTCTCTGGCTGTGTAGAATAAACAAGTGCAACAGAATGTGCAATTATAGCTCTTAAGGTTTTCAGTATATCTGAGGAAATACTGAATACGCAGATAAAACTATACAATGCAAACAATCTAGAATTTCCCAAAGTTTAGAATGAAAACTGAGTTGTTAGCTTTTAAAAAACCAACTTGGAGAGATACGAAATGACAGAAATATGTGTTTGCCTCCTATTGCTCCTTAAGCTGTATTAAAACACACACGCACGCACGCACGCACGTACACACGTAGTGACAAGGTCTCGCTGTGTTGCCCAGGCTGGTCTCCAACTCCTGGGCCAAGCGATCCTCTTGCCTAGGCCTCCCAAGGTGTTGGGATTATAGGCAGGGGCCACCACACCTGGCATAGTTGTTTAAATTCCTTGCATATTCTGGATATTAGTCCCTGCAGGAGTAGATGGAACTGGGGTTCATTATGTTAAGTGAGATAAGCCAGACACAGAAAGACAAATATTGCATATTTTCTCACATAATGTGGGAAGGAAAGAGTAGAATGATAGTTACCAGAGGTTGGGAAGGCTGTGTGTGGTGAGGGGAGGAAGAGAGATTGGTTAGTGGGTGCAGACTACAGTTTGTAGAGAAAGAATACCTTCTGGTGTTTGATAGCACTGTGGCGTGACTATAGTTAACACTGATCTATAGTATATTTCAGAATAGCTAGAAGAGAAGATTTTAAATGTTCTCAACATAAAGAAATGATAAATGTTTGAGGCACTAAATATTCTAAATACCCTGATTTGGTCATTACACATTGTATGCATATATCAAAATAACACCATAAATATGTACAAATATTATGCGTCAAAATTTTAAAATGTGAAAAACATGTATATATGAATGTACTCAATGAAGGCATAACTTACCAGAGAAGGCAATGCCCAGGATTGGGGGTGGTGGGGACCACTGACAGATGAGAGATTTCACTAATTATCTGGGAAACAGGTAGAGGCAAGTTGACCAATGAAACAGGCAGGCAAGTCAGTGTCTAGATAATGAGGCAAGGGATTGCAAAGGAGACGGTTCTGACCTTAGAGTCAGAAAGTAAGACTGAGAAGTAAGGCTACAAAAGAGAGATGAATAAAATATCAATAAGTAGGCAAATGTAGCAGTTGGCGCTTTCATGGGTAGGTATCTGACACTTAGACCAAAGGAGAAAGTACATCTTGTGTTACAGAAAAATTGAATCAAATTTCTGTGATACTTGGGGCCATCTGAAAGCTAGCTTTCCATCAGCTGACCCTAAAGTGAATCCCAGCCCTGTTCCATGAAATGTTTTCTTACAGAATTCCTTCTCAGGAAAGAAACCTGGCTAAAGAGCTCTATTTAATAACAGAGAAAATTTCAACCAGCTAATTTTTTCTTTAATATTTTTAAAGCTATTGTGATCATCCAATTGGAAATAGTAACAAATGAGAAAATACCTAACAGCATATTGTTTCCCATTCCTCCCCATCCCAATATCATGCTTTAGAGAAAACCATTTTCCTTTAACAGTTTTTCTATTTTCAGTCCTCTGGTTTTCTCTATAATTTTAGGCAAAAATATTTTTCTCTCTCCTGATTTATTCATTTTAGACACTATCTGTTGACGCTCCAATTTGAATTGTGACACTTTATTTGTATTCTGTCTGCTCTTTCCTAACGTACTTATTTTAGATATTCAGTGTTTTCGTTTTTTTAAGCTTAAGTCACTAAATCTCTATTTCTGTACCATCATTTGATAGAATCTCTTCAAGCTCTACTTTTAATAATACAGTAGAAGAATATGAGTTCTCTTACTCCTCTCTCTACCTTTTATTCCTCCCTTCCTTAATGTAACTTGTATCAGCTGCAGCTTATACTTTTACATTGTCAGGATTATTAATATTCATGTTTTGTCTTGGACCCACAATAGTGGTTGACTATTGGAAGACTCTAAACTTTGAAACCAACACATAGGACTGTGTAAATATTGTTTGATGTAATATTGTTTATGTAGTGTGTTAAGTTTTGTGTCCTTCTGTAACTGATGCAATAAAAAATCTTACCTAACTCTTTCTTATAGGACTGCTTCTTCACTGTGTCCTCTTCCCAGTCCCTTCTCAATCTTCAAAGGTTAAAAGCAGCTTTCTCCTCTGGGCCTTGCCTTCCCTTATTTCTCACGTTCACTGTTATGTGAACTGTTTCCCGACATTTCAGTACACCATATATATTTCTCATTCATACTCTTTCAGCACATTGAGGTATCCTGGGAATATTTTTTGAATAGCTTTGAGACTCGATAAGTTTCATCTCATGACCCTATAGTCCCTTCTCTCCCCATAGTATTTTGAAATAAACCCCAATCATCACACAATTTCTTCACAAATATTTTAGTGTGCATCTCACTGAGGGCTCTTTTAAAAATATAACCACAGTACCATTAGTACATCTAAAAATCACTTGATACCATTGCATATCCAGTAAGTATTCAAGTTTCTAATTATTTGATAACTGTCATTAATAGTTTCTATTTTGTTTGATTAAATTAGGATCCAAGTAAGGTATAAAAATTGATAAGCCTTTTGAGTCTCTCTTAATCTTGTAAGGTACCCCTCCATCTTTCTTTTTTCTTATTTTATTGCAATTTTATTCTTGAAGAAACTGAATTAGTTGTCTTGCAGATTATCCACAGTCTGGATTTTACTGATTAAATCCCTGCATTGTCCTTTAATATGTTCCACAGTGTTTATCTTTTTAGCTTCTGATATTTGATGGCATTATTCAACTCTTTGACATAATTTCTAACGTTTCTTATTAAATCTTTGTGTGATTGCAAATCTTTTGTAACATCCTTTACAAGAACTAAGGAAAAAAGAAGTTGATAATTTGAAACTTGTTATAGATGTGTTTAACTTAGTGGGATCCAGTTGTTTGTGGCCTTGTAGTTAGAAAGACAGTTGCATGGTAGTTTTCCTAAGGAACAAGGTGCTTTCTTAGACTTACTGGTAAACATGAAATGCACTTTTTTGCAGGAAGACCCCTGTGGGCAATTGCCATGACCCCTGAACTGTGATAAAATAAAATTTTGCAGCAAAGTGAGAATGACTTTATATTTTCAAATTTCTGATCCTTAGTAAATAGGTAATTGAAAACTAGGCTTACGGAAGGTGGGATCAGAGCCTCATCTACATAGACATGTAAAATGTTATATTAGACATGCGATATTTATATCGCCCATGAAACATATGACTGTATTAGCCATCGAAAATTTCACAGCCGGTCTGGCATGCTGATTTCTGAAATGGTGTGAATGGGAGACCTAACAGCTGTTTTGTACTTCTTTGACTTCTGGTTGTTTTTGTGCAGCAGCTTTCCTTGATGGAGTCCATTGTTGGCCTTGCCTGATTGTTTTTCTTGAGTGATGTACAGTGTTTTACATAAACTCTGTCTTAATGAATCAAAAATTTTCGTTTTTTTCCAGAGATAAACTTGGAAGACTTGGATCCTTCGGGGTGAAATGTCTAACTAGAAATTTCCTTTTATAATCTAGTCTGCTTATGTTCCCCCTGGTTTTAGGAGCTGGGAATCCCAACTGCAAAATAGTAATTGTTTTGGGAAGAACTAAAAATACTTCTGTTTCCAGGTAATAAAACAAATTCTGATTGAGAAATCTATGTAGCAATAAGAGTCAGTCTTTCTCCCTATCCATTGATTTTTTTTCAAGTACACTGTTTGGGCTCATAAATAATAATATAAAATATGTTGTAGGGTATTTTTATTTATACACGTGCTTTTATTTCACAAATGTTTTGCTAAAAGATATGTTTGGAAAACATTTTAGGGAGTGTTGCTGTACATTTTTCACTGTGGAATGTCCAGCATAAGAAGGTGTTGCTGAATCATAAAATCTGCTTGGATCAGATTATTAGACATACGGTTTTTCAGAATTGTCTGGCATAATGAAGTTATTAGATGTTTAGATCAAATGCAATAGTCTTGAAATGTTGAACTTTGTGTATCAGTTCCCAGCTACCATTGTTGAGCAACGAGAAGCTTCAAACAACTTTCACTTATTTTCAAACCATTGTTTTGATTCCAGATCACAGCCTGCATCAGACTGTGCTTGGTGTGTGCCTTTTACACAGTTTCCATTCCATTCATCATTGCTTGCATGATTATATCATAGCAGCAACAAAAAGACAATTTCAACTCCACCTAACATCTGTTTTGTTTTTCTTCTTAGCAAACTTTTTCTAATACTATTTTTCTTTTGACTAGACACAAACAACACAGCATGATTCTTGTTCCCATCAACACACCCGGAGTAGAAGTAATAAGGCCTTTGTCAGTTTTTGGCTACATGGGTAAGTACTTAATAAATATGTTCATGGAGTAGCAAGCAGGACGACTAGAATATTGATAGTGGTACTGGAGAGAATACATAGCATCTTGATGAATGAGAGGTTGTCTTGGAAATCCCTTTGGCCTGACAAGTGTCAATACAAATGCCCGTTGAAGTTCAGAATAGAGCAAATTAAAAGAGGTAGCACAGTATTCCACCTCATTTTCTCCACTCTTTGGGCAAAGGCAGATTGTAAGAAACTGCCACTAGGCACTAACCTTGAACAGTGGATGAGTTTTCTGAACTCTCTGTCATTCAAGACAGAGAAGTGAAATAGACTTGGATAAGTTAAATCTATGTAATTCACAATAAAATTCATTTTTGTCTCCAACAAGAATTGTTGATAAGCAATGAGTTTTCACTCGAGTGCAAAACCTTCTCTTCCTTATACCCTTGGGTAGAATTGCTAAGCAGCAAGGATCCTTTTGTTTCCTGCTACCCACCTTGGCACATGTCCATTATGTCCACACATCCCCAGCCATCCACTGAGCAAGTACTGATTGAGTGCTGAGTACTTTTCGGTGTTTAGAATACTTTAGTATTCACTATTGACTTCAATTCTTGCCTTCATGGAGGTTACATGCTGGTGGATGGAGATAGGCAATAACTGCAAATGTGTCAACAAGTACATTTTATTTTATTTTATCCTATTTTTTAAAGACAGGATCTCACTGTGTCACTCAGGCTGGATTATAGTGGTATTATCATCGCTCGCTGCAGCCACAAAGTCCTGGCTCAAAGGATCCTCCCACCTTAACCTCCTGGGTAGCTGCTGGGGCTACAGATGCATGCCACCACACCCAGCTAATTTTTCAAAATAAAATTTTGTTGAGACAGGGTCTCACTATGTTGCCCAGGCTGGTCTTGAACTTTAGGCCTCAAGAAATCCTTCCACCTGAGCCTCCCAAAGCACTGAGATTACAAGCATCAGCCACCATGCCTGGTCTAAATAAGTAAATTCTATAGCATGTTAGCATGTGATAAATTCCATGAAATAGTTGATTGAACTTCAGGTTCTGTGGTGACTCTGGCTTTCTCTCTATCATTAAATATGACTAGTGAACATGTTCAAGTGGCAGATAACAAGACTTGCAGTTTTGTAGAACATTTGACATCACCTTCTACAGGATGTACCCACAGGTTAAGCATAGGTGGCAAGATGAGATTAACAAGCTCACCAGAGCTAATTTCACGTGGAAAATTGTTGGGTTGCAGATCAACAGCCTACAAGACACTGAAAATGCATTTATACAAGAGGGGACCCAAAAAGCTAGAATTTCTTTATAAAAATTGTGTATTTATTCTTACATGCGTAAAATTCAGTCACCTTCAAAGTACTCTCCGTTTGATGCAGTACACCTATGAAGACACTTTTTCCACTGCTCAAAACAGTTTCTGAACTCAGCAAGTTTGACACCTCTTGGTGCTCCTGCCATCTTTTATTTTACGTCTTCTGCATCTACAAAACGATTTCCTTTGAGGACTTTTTATCCGAGGAAACAAAAAAAGTCTATTGGGGGTAATCAGGTGAATAGGGAGGGTGGAGCATGGGGGTCATGCCGTTTTTGGTCAAAAACCGCTGAATACTCGGCGCAGCGTGGGCAGGTGCCCTTGTAAACAGTCCAACATGAAATGGGCAAACACGTTGAAAGAATCTCCGAAAAAAATTCACTGAAGCTGCACATAGTCTCTCCCAACAACAGTAGCTGGCACACTGATGCTGATGGGTTCCTAGAGCACTTACTTAGTGATGGAAGCCTGTACTACAGGGGCACGCCTCTCCAAAATATAATTCCTGGTTTGGGGAGGTCCCCCCTCATGATATAGTTTAACTGCAGATATCCTCCATTACACAGCCTACATTTGAATTTTCCGTATGAGAAACCTACCAGCTCCTCCATAACTGCTTATGTCCAAGGCCAAAAGAAACAGTGCAGAGAAGGTTGATTGTTCATGTCTGTTCTGACAGCAAAAGTGCGTAGAGTTAGCAAGTGATTGTCTGTAGAACTTGACAGGGAGGAAGGGCGATGCAGACACAGAAGTGTAAATGTGTTCCCAGCCTTAGTAATGCAAATACCAGCATTTTCAAGAGGCAAACACACAGCAGAACAGGTGCAGACGGGGAGTGAATCTACCCAAAAGTCCCGTCTCTGTCTGTGTCACCATCACTGATGCTGAGCCTGCACTGCCCCTCCATCACCCCTTGGCATCTTCAGGGAATCAGTCTCCACAATGATGAGTTAAGAAACTCGGTTTACATTTTCCACTTTCAACTTTTGAAACCTTTTTTTCCCCAACTTTTCTTTGGAATCTCATACATAAAATATTTCAAAGAAGGCACAATAATAAAACAAGAATGAAATACTCTGGTTGGAGCTGTGAAACTTAGTCCTCATTTTTTTTTCTTTTTCTTTTTTCTTTCTATTTTTTATTCAAAAGTGTGGGCTACAATTCAAGATTAGCTATACCAATGTTCATTATGCAGGTGCCCTTGTTGACAAGGTGTGCCCCTCCCTCCCTCCCCTGGCAGTTTCCCTCAAATGCCAATCCCACCCTCCCCACCCCCCTGGCGGTTTCCCACTACTGCCAATCCCTCTCTCATGGTACTATGATCATTGTTCAAGGTCCACTTATGAGTGAGAACATACGGGACTCTGTTCTTTGTTTCTGGGACAGATCACTGAATATGATTGACTCTAAATCCGTCCAAGTCTTCATTTTTCATAGCTCTATAACTTCAGGGAATGAATTCGAAAACCTCTGGCTCAAATGATTTCTCTTTGACATGAACAGTGGATGAGTTTTCTGAGCTGCTGGGTGCTGGGGCTTCAGGGCTGAGGAATGTTCATGACATATGGGTCTCTTAAATATTACTTTCTTTGAGTAATTATACTTCAGCAGATTAATTATATGTGACTTTATTGGTGAACTCATTTTGCTCTTTAAAATTGTGTTTTCTGATTTATAGATCACTTTCATGGAGGACATTTTGAGATCCATTTTAATCAAGTGCGAGTTCCTGCCACCAATCTAATACTAGGTGAGATACGTGTGGAAAATGATTATCCAGTATTGTATATTAATGTTTTTAGGCCTATATAGGGAAAATACATGCAGATACCTTAATTTAGATAGTTTCTCCTCCTGTTTATTCCATTTATCAAGGAAAACCCTTCCATTTATTTTCTTACATGGTTTTTAGTGAGGTTTTATTTAAGTACATGATCTGTGGGTCTCTACCTCTTTTAAGAACACCTCAGTACTTTCTGAATTCAAGTCTTATGTACAAGTAAGAAACATAAGTAACTTTGAACACTCATACGTGTGGGATGACTCTATTCTCTTGCTTATTGGAATCCTATACAACCTTCAGAGAACATCTCAAATACTACCTCTTCAGGAATGTTTCTGTGTTTCTCACCCCATCCACTCAGCAAGCCCTTGATACCTGCTAGGTCCTAAGGTTACAGTGATGAACAGAAAATCTCTTCCTCCCTTGCCTTTCTTTGTATCTCTCTATATTCCTTATCCTTGCCTCCTCTTCTGCATTCTGAACTCCTAATGTAGAGACTGTCTTGTCTTACCCACATTTTTAACTATTACAGCACTAGTATAGTAGCTGAAGAGACAGTTTTCAAATTTGATTGAAATGCTTAACAATAGTGGTTTTATAAACACAGAGCTGAAATTCCATAAATGCATAATGAATCTTATTATAAAACTGACTTTTGCTTGCCAGAATGCCATTTTTAATGAGGGCAACACGTTTTCCCAGGGTTTGTGTAAATAACAAAAGAAATGGGTTAGGCTATTTTCCTTGTTCTCCTTTCTTTTCTCTTCCTTGAGATGGGGTCTCATTCTGTCACCCAGGCTGGAGTACACTGGCGTGATCATAGCTCACAGCATTCTTGACTTCCAGGGCTCATTGATCCTGCTGCCTAGCCTCCCAAGTAGCTGGCATAATGTGCCACCATGCCTGGCTTCATATTGTTCTTTCTTCACCACAGGTGAAGGTAGGGGATTTGAAATTTCCCAAGGCCGCCTTGGACCTGGCAGAATCCACCACTGTATGAGAATAGTAGGATTGGCGGAACGTGCTTTGCAGATCATGTGTGAACGGGCAACTCAGAGGGTAGCCTTTAAGAAGAAACTATATTTACATGTAAGGATGATTACTTACTTGAATTTATTATATAGCCCACTGCACTATGCACTAACCTTGAACAAAAACAGCATTACTTGGTGAGAGATTTCCTCTACACAACAAGGTGATTCTTTTCCATAAAGCATATTTACATCTGTATTTAAATATAGTCTGATGAGACATATTTATCTTTGAGAAAGGCTAAATAGCTCCTAATGCACTTCAGCACCTCAGCACACAAGAGTGTGTTTCTCAGATTCACATTCTCTAGAGAACTTGGTTCTCTGTGGACGTGTAGTCTGTCAAAGGGAGAGGGACTTGCCTTAGCCCTTAACCACAGGAACGAGGACAGACAAGTGTGAAGGTATGGGAAAACAGCCCAAAACTCAGGGCAAGAAGGAACTTTCTGATAGTCTTAGAAATGGAATGGACTGCTTTAAGAGGAATTGAGTTCTCTTTCATGAGATAAGTGCAAGTAGAAATGGAACTGACATTTGGTAGGATGTTCATGATTTTTTGATCGTTCTTCTTTAAGTTATATACCACTGAGCCTGTCGTTTGCAAGGCATTCTAAATATGGTTACATATGGACAATGTAATCAAAATTAGGAAATATGTATTGAGAGGAAAAAGAAAGTGTCATTTCAGACTTCCTTGGAAAGCCTTTTACAGAGAAGTAGGATATCCAAATCATCCCCATCTTAGTTTCTAGAAAAATGATTATTAAATATTTAATACTTATTATTACTAACATGTTTGTGTTAGGTCTGTCTTGTGATAGAATTGTATTTGTGTTTACTGGACATGTATATTTTAGTACATTGGTCTCCATGTAAAGTACATTTTTGACCATCTTACAGAATTTTGC